GCATTTTTTTACGTTAATGAGCATAGCAAATAAATTGGTATCCACGGTATCCACTCACATGTTTAAATTTTAGTCTGCTTGTTACGGTCAAAAAAAACCCAAAACAATTAATACAGTCACATTACTACATGCAATAGCCTATATGAGATAGCCCATGATCACTTATACAGGTGTTACTATAACAATTTTGTAAATGGTGATCAGCAACCAAATATTGATCATGTGGAAATTACTGCCTTTTGCCTTGGTGTGACTTCTCACGTTTTGCAGACAAATGCAAAGGCAGAGTACAATAACTTCAAAATAGGGGTAAAAATCAAGTTTGAGCTCACACTTTTTTAATGTAGATCATTTTCATTACTAAAATATCTAATTGTTACATTTCCAGTGTCCTACCTATAATTAATTTGGCTGGACAAGTAAAAAACTTTAAAGTAATTTTTCTCAGTTTCACACTCTAGCGAGTTAAGGTCTTTTGCCTTTGTAGGGCAGTATTGCTGTCTCTGGCCTTTGTCAATCATGGCCTCCTAATAATCCCCATCCACTTCATTGGCTCTATGACTCTCTCTCCTCTCCACCTGTAGCTGGTGTGTGGTGAGCGCACTGGCACCGTTGTCCTGTGGCTGCCGTCGCATCATCCAAGTAGATGCTGCACACTGGTGGTGGTTGAGGAGAGACACCCCAACCCCACATGATTGTAAAGCGCTTTGGGTGTACAACAACACACAATAAAAGCACTATATAAATGCATCATTCATTCATTCATTCATTCAACATAGTGATGTGCACATGTTTGCCCGAGCTCTTCAATTCGGCACTCAAGTCAAGTCACGTCACATTTATAGAGCATGTTCTATCATAGATTGCTTTAGAACAAACAGCTTTGCGGTATTAAACATGAAAAAGTGTCAATGTCGCTTTCAATTAGAACTACAACTTTAATTTCCGCTATAAAGCAGCTCTCCAGTGTGTTCGTGTTTTTACTTGCTGACGTCTGACCTTGACGGACTGAACAGAAGAAATAAGCCAGAGGAGATTTCCATGTCAAAGAACACAGAGCCCCAGAACACACCTAAGACCAACGGTAGTTTGAAGGTGTTTACAAGCCAGAGCAAACTTTTCCAGAAAGTTTGGCAACTGTTTCGACCTTCCAAGTGAACTTCGTTTGGACTGATTTTGTTCGAAATGGCGTCACACCAGTTCTGTCATGACAACTCTCGGTGACTTTAGCATGGTAATATACATGGCAATGTTAATGTGTTTGGTCTTGGTGGAATTGGTCTTGTGCAGAGCAAGTACCGAGACTTATTACTGCCAATACATCCAGAGATATGCTGCTGTGAGCATGCAGGAAATACTGCTGCTGCATATGTAACATATATGAAATAACCACCCGTATAAAATACATGAAATTAGTAGATCTATACAGGTGGAGCTGGGGGAGGTGGAGGGTTTCTGAAGCCCACTGCAACTGCTACAACGAGCACTAGCCAAGTATTTGAATGTTGAGCAGCAAGCTCATTGGCTGCTGATGTGAAAAGAAACCAATCAGCTGCGCCATGTGAATCATGATGTAATTATATTAGATTGAGTTAGAACCTATCGGCCTGCGCCATCTAGAGTGTCATGACAGAACTTTGCATTTTATTCGTTGATTTCATAGTATGAGAAGTATATCGAGGTCTTAAAGCTCAACACTACACCTACCCTTAACCATACTAAACCAGTAGCAAATGTCCTGGAACGGAGGCACGGTTTTTAGCATGGTATTTATATGAGCTGCAAAGTGGTTGCTCAAAGACACCACATCCGATTTCAATGATAGACCTATTAAATATCTGTTATTTCACTTTCATTTAAAAAACAGTCTCTCCAAGCTGATATGTGATGGGAAAAGGGAGAAGAATGGGATTTTAAAAAGGCAGATTCGGACTTGAATCGGTCTCATCAAAAGCTAAATCCTAATTTTTACTCCCTTCTCCACAGTTCTTGTTAGCAAACTGGTTTCTTCTGTAATCATGTGTGGCTCAACCAGACACTAGTTGACAGAATTGGTGTAAATAGCCTTTGCCAACAAGGTGGTCTAAATGCACTTAGTGTAAATAGACACTATATTCTTTTATAGATAATTTAATTTTGGCTTAAACATTGTATGTACTACAGTATCCTTGAATTCAAATGTGTGCAACTATAACACAAATACACTGCAAGAACAGTTCTGTTCTTGGTAAATATATATAAACAGAATGCTGTGTGGGCGTGCTACCAACATTGCTGCTTTCTACATTTTGTATAACGATCACTGGGGACACATGCATTCTGCAAATACTGAATGACAGACAACAGTATTAAGCATAATACTGGCTTCATGGAAAATAGAGTAGTAGGCCATAGTAGGTCGAGCGGGTGGCAGGGAGGCCCAGCTGTTGGGACGTCTCCTTCTGTTTAGATTCATTAGTGGTGTAATCTGCCTGCT